GCGAGCTCTCCAAATTGTTAGGACACATGCATATGATTGAGAGCAACTCCAACGGGCCGACCTAAACGGACACCGCTTTTGTCCGTTTTTCGTCCGTTTGGGTCGGCCAGGCGAACGTGTGCGTCCGCATTCTGAAATGGGTCGGCTTGGCCGTCCAGCGAGGGGAGCAGAACCAAATGTGCGGGCACGCAAAAAAAAGGTCGCACGAAATAAACTTAAAATAAACTTAATTAAACATAAGTGGTCGGTCAAACTCAGGCCAAAGTCCACTTAAACATAATTAAACATTAATTAAAAAACTAAAAAAGTCCACGCCTGCCTTCTGCCGCCCCGCACGCTGCCCTAGACGTCGTCGGCCTTGCCCTTGCTCTTGCCGTCAACGCCGTCGTCGCCATCGCCGGTGAGGTTGATGAAGACGGGAGCAGGGTCTGCCGAGCCGAACGCCGCCTGGTATGCTGCCAGGGCAGCCTCCTCAGGCGTCTGCTGGGGCGGCGGCATTGCAGCCAGCCGCACGCGCTCCTCTTCCTCCTCCTCGAGTCGGAGCGCCTCCGCATCGCGGTGGAGCATGGCCTCATAGCGCATCTGCTGCTCGCCGTCGTCCTGCTCCTGCCGAAGCAAGTGCACCTTTCAGCGCTCGAGGTGGTCGACCTCCTGCTCCGGCGTCGCGGCGAAGTGGACGGGGCGCGCGCTCACCCACTCGCGGTACTGACCCGTCCACGAGTAGGTCTCCTCCGGCCAAGTGGGTGGAGGCGGGGAGCGCTTCCGCGTCGGCTCCGGCTCCGGCTTGGGCTGGATGGGCGGCGAGGGTGGCGGTGGCGGCACGAACAGCGGGGAGTGGACGGAGTCCCCCGCCGCCGATAGGGCGAGGGCTTGCTCCAGCCCATCCCAGTGCGCGTCCTCCTCGAGGCGGCTAGCCTCCAGCGCCTGCTGCAGGGCCTCCTCGAGGGCGGCCTGGTACTCCGCCTCCATCTCCTCGTCCTCCGGTTGTACCTGCGGCGGCGGCGGTGGGAACGGCGGCGGGACGGCGTGCACACCCGAGCGTCGTTTCTCCTCGTGTCCGAGGGCGAACCAAGCCTCCCAGTTGGGAGAGTCGGCGGCGTACTCAGGCAGCCGACGCTGCTCGGGCGTGAGCTACGCGCGGCGCCGGTGCACGGGCTTCGCGGAACCGCCGGCACTGGGATCCGCTGGGGATCCAAGTGCCAATGATGCGGCAGCGTCACGTCGGGATAGGGGAGGGGCTGCCTGTACTCCCAGTGCCACCGTGCTTGGTGCACCGGGATGTGCAGGCGCCGGCGTTCCGGGCGGAAACACGCCGGCGGTGGCGGGAGAGGGGAGCACAGGAGGACGAGGCGCCGGGGGTGCACTTGCCCTTGGCCTTGCCATTGTTGCCGAAGATGCCCATGGCGGCCTAGGG